ATTGATGTCATTATTTCCGTTGATATTGCATGGCTTCTGAATTATTGGATTGTATTTAGGCTTGGTTATTTCACCAGTTAGCTGTAGTTAACGAGTGTGCTATAACACATGCCCTCGCCACAATCAGTGTAACACAACAAAAGTGAAACAAAATTTTAATAATATTTGGAAAGAATGCTGCTGACTTTTTGTTTAGCTAGCTTACTGCTGCAGCAATTGAAGGTGTGGCTGGAAAAAAGGTGTGGCTCAGCTCAATCACTTGCACCGCCTAGTTTTAATAGTAAAAATGGTGCCTGTGGACGGAAAGCTTTATTAGCTTTTCTTGGCATGCGAGACTAGCAGACAGTATGACACAGATTTGTTAGGCTCTACTTGTTTCATGCCATTCCTATATCAAGTTTCTTTAATTTCAAGGCAGTAGCACCTTCTCAGGGAGGACCCGCTACACTACAAAATAGCTAGTAAGTCGCACATTTGTCACACTTAAGCTGTCATACCTTACAAATGAAGAAAAGTCAAGCAATTCCACACATTAGTTTGTTTTACAAGTTTTCCTTTACAGTAACATATTATGTTTTTAAAAAATAAACAAGCCACCACATATGACCATACTATGCATAACCAACATTAGGCTGGGTTTGCTGCTGACGTGATTGTTATTTATAAACTCTGATTGTTATGCTAATAAATATACCTGTCAACAAGCAGCAGCTCTTGTGTAGTGTCATGTAATAAATGCATGTACATGTACATGTACATGATTACTTACGTAGTTTTATGCCTAATAAATATTCACTTTTTATGTGTATTCAGTTTGGTGTGGTATGTGCAGTGATGCCACAATGGACCTTATGCACCGAAATGATTCTAATTAACGCGCACCCAAAGTGGTGGTAAAATGGTGGATTTTTGGAGGGAAAGACAGGCTAAACAATCTTCTCTTTTATCCATCCATTCTAGCTGTGGGAGCCACTTTGAGCTGTCCTTTTGTTTCAGTATACTCTATTTATCTCTTTTGTAAGCTTTTTGGTTGCTGTTTTGGCTTTTATAGCATTTTATCATAGGAATATTCTCAACCATCGGCCATTCCCGTTTTTCTAAATTTTTCTTTCAGGAGCCAGGGCGCTTGCCCCTCCATTGCTAGGAAGATAGGAGTGCATTCAGCTGAGTCCTATGACTAGTGTCTATCATCAGAGTTAGTCTCAGTCCATCAGGACAAGGTACGGTGGAATAACTCACTCAGTTGTTATTTTGCAGCTAGAGTGTGGATGATTATGACCATCTTTTCACTTCTTAAAACTATAGGTTGGCTCTTATAGATAGTTGAGGCATGCAAGAACTCATTCTTTATCTGTAAATTCACTGATTGTACTGTATGAGCATCTCATGTCATTAAAATCTGTCAGTCGCTATTCAGTACTTGCAGAAAGGAATCATCACATTCAGGACTCGTTCATGGCTCTTCACCATTTGTATCCTCTCCCAACAGTTTTATTTATTATTTTGAATTATAAAAAACATAATGGGTGTTGTTGCTAGAACTATTATTGTTGTTATCACTAGGTCACTACATTGCATTTGTATAGACGACTATTTATGCATTTACACATACTTTATGATAAACAGTATATACACAATAATTTGAAACCATCTTGACGATAACAAAGATAATTATTGTTATTAACATCAATTTTTAACATGAATAAAAACATAAAAATCATGTAACGATGAAAGTGTTTTACTTCATACTGGACGTTACTATTAATAGCTAGTTACATGATGCTTAGCTATTCCAGCACACTTATGATCCTTGGAATGCTTCTTACATGTGAATAAAGACCAGTCCTATAGTTTTAAGAAGTGAAAAGATAGTCATAATCATCCACACTCCAGCTGCAAAATAACAACTGAGTGAGTTATTCCACCGTACCTTGTCCTGATGGACTGAGACTAACTCTGATGATAGACACTAGTCATAGGACTCAGCTGAATGCACTCCTATCTTCCTAGCAATGGAGGGGCAAGCGCCCTGGCTCCTGAAAGAAAAATTTAGAAAAACGGGAATGGCCGATGGTTGAGAATATTCCTATGATAAAATGCTATAAAAGCCAAAACAGCAACCAAAAAGCTTACAAAAGAGATAAATAGAGTATACTGAAACAAAAGGACAGCTCAAAGTGGCTCCCACAGCTAGAATGGATGGATAAAAGAGAAGATTGTTTAGCCTGTCTTTCCCTCCAAAAATCCACCATTTTACCACCACTTTGGGTGCGCGTTAATTAGAATCATTTCGGTGCATAAGGTCCATTGACTCCATCATTTTTTAGCTGCATCTTTCAACTTTTCCTGTGTGCTTGTTACTAGCTTCTCCATTCTCACTAGATTAGTAGGGCACTTGCGACACATTCTACCAATGCAGCAGCCACTGTCATCAAGTAGAACATCATCAATGCTGCAATCTATATTTGCTTCCTGAAAGTGTTGAGCCAGTAGTTTCTTCCAGATAGGTAAGGCCTTCTCACAAGCAGGGCCATACATATTATATCTGTTTGTAGCTACAGTGACATCTTCTCCACAAGCGAAACAGTATACAGCAGCAGCATGCTCCACGGCGCCCGCCATTATATTACAGCTATATAGCTCCACCCTTGTTAAAGCGGGGCATAATTAACTATAATAGTATGTTGATCGCTTTTGAGCCCCACCCAAGCCATACAAGTGTATGTAGCCAACTTTGGTATACGTATTTATCCTGACCCTCCGCCTTCCGCGAGGGTCAGGCCCGCCTGACTAATCTCCGGGCGGGAAAGAT